CTCCTTCCAACCTTGCCTCTTTAACTACCTACCCCACCCCTATGGCACTCCCTCACCTAATTCTAGCCGAATTCTATCACCCACTGTTTCCAGAAGAATTCACTATTCACCGGATATCCCCAAAGGCCTAGCATTCCTGACAACCACTCCATATTTAAAAGTCCGTTCTCTGCCCATTCGAGCGCAGCATTCTAAATCTGCCCTACTTGGTAGTGGACAATCCTTCTGAAGATGCGGGACAAGGGGAAAATGGTGCCACGAGTCTCTGACAGTGATTTGACATCCTGGTGGAAGGGATGGTCCAGAGATCGGCTGTACTCATCCCAGAGGACGGAGAGACAATGGTCTGTTCCCACAGTCTATGCTCCTCATACCTTTTGACTACCTGCACCAGCATTAACAGCTGTGCAGAGCCAGGGTGAGTGGAGGGGTGCCCGTGTTAGCTCCTCCTTGCAGAGGCAAAGACTGGGACTGATGCCAAGATACCCATGTCGCACCAATCGGGTAAGCACCACTCTTCATTCCACTGCAACTCTCACAGTAACTCACCGGGAATGCCATTCCTGTCTGGTGTCTTACAGGTGCCAATGGGATGGTCATAGTCCCTTGCGGAGAAATTGACCTTCTCAACCTCTGAGAACGAGAGACCAGAGACCTCAGAAGCAGTTTGGGCAAGGCTGCTTCCTGCACTCCCACCAGCTCTGATACTGACTCCATGGTGAGAATGTCAGGTTTAGAAAGTCTGCGAGCACAAGCTGGTGAGCACCACATTGCGATAGCTCTGTAGCTGGCAATGGTGTCAGCAATTGGGGACTTCTCCAGATTCTACAGGAGCACCAGGCAGGTATGTGGGAGGCAATGGCACTCAGCAATATGTCTACCACCCTGATTGAGGACTGCTGACCAGCAAGAAAAGCTGCACTAATTCGCACAGCAATGCAAGGCAAGGCTAGGCAGGGATGCTGTGAGAACGCAAGAAAGTGGTAAGTGAGCAGACGCTAAGAGAGCAAGTGATCAGCCCTAAGATGGAACCTGGTCTGATGTGTCAAGCTGGGCACTGCAGGACTGCAGAGTGTCCCTGCTGCAGTCTTTCAATTATAGTTGGCGGTTTAACCTGAAGTAGATGTCTCAGCTTCCTAAATGTCCTGCAGGTGGATCAGAGAGGTGCCATGAAGATCCTGAAGGGTAAACAAAAGTCATAGGAGGGGCGTGTGCAGCTGGTGCCCATCGATTATGCTCTGAAATGCTGTCATGTGGTGACCAACATGGAGCTCCTTTGGAGCCAAATGCAAATTGAAGTCACCAGGAACCTGCTTTGTCTTCCATGTTGAAAATTCTCAGTATCCAGTTTACCTGAAGCGGATAGAAATATTAATGAGGTGAATTTTGTATTTAATAAGGTCAATAACATGCTGTCTGGCGAGAATCTTGTCTTGAAACTTGGAGCATCATTAAAGGTGCAGTGAGTTGTTCCCAATGTCGAGAAAGGCCTTACTGGAGTTCTCGTGTGATTCTACCAGATTGCATGCTATTACCCATTTTGTTCAGGCCTCTATAAGATTCTGCCTAGTCAGTGGGCAGGAAAATGAAGTTGAAGCCCAAGGTGAGCTATGGTCATATTGAATGCTGAGTGGCCTGATGGGCCATTTTGTCTATTGCACCTAGTTCTTGTGTTTGAGCTTATTTCTGAGTGTGCCCATCAGCAGTATTTTACAATGTCGCGTCTATGTGAATGTAACACAGTGTAAACATAGAACAGCACAACACAGGAACAGGTCCTTTGGCCCTCTATGACAGTGGCAACCATCATGCCATTCTAAACTAATCCTATCTGTCTGCCCATGGTCTGTACCTGTCTATTCTTGACCTTCATGTGTCTGTCTAAATGGGTCTTGAACTTTGCTATTATATCTGCTTCTACCACCTCCCCTGGCAGCGTGTTCCATGCACCTACTACCTTCTGTGTAAAAAATCTTTCCTCACTTATCGCCTTTAAACTATTCCCCTCTCACCTTAAACCTATGCTCCCAGTATTTAACATTTCCAAATTAGGAAGAAAAAACTCTGCCTATCCAACCTATCTATGCTTCTCATTTTTTACACACTTCTGTCAGGTCACCCTTCAGCCTCTGTTGTTCTAACAAAATCATTCCGAGTTTGTCCAATCTTTCCTTATAGCTAATGCACACCAATGGTAGACCTCTTCTGTACCCTTTCCAAAGCCTTGACATCTTTCCTATAGTTTGGAAACCAGAACTGCGTGCAGTGCTGCAAATGTAGCTGGACCAAAGTCTTATACAGTTGCAACATGACTTTCCAACTTTTATACTGAATGCCCCGACTGATGAACATGATATGGAGGTGCCGGTGTTGGACTGGGGTGGATAAGATCAGAAATCACACGACATCAGATTATATTTGAAAACACAATCTTTCAGAGCCTCAGAGGTAGTAGGAACTGCAGATGCTGGAGAATCTGAGATAACAAGGAGTAGAGCTGGATGAACACAGCAGGCCAAGCAGCGTCAGCCTTCCTGCTCCTCTGATGCTGCTTGGCCTTTCGGAGCCTCAGTCCTTTTACAGGTGTTAGTGAGAAAGCTATTATCAGACACAGAATTTATTAATAAAAGATTAAAGGTTCACATCATTGATGAGGATGTACTAAACAAACCTAAGACGCTGTTAAATCTTTGATCAGTTAGAAGATTTTAATTGATTAATATGTATATGTAAATCCCCAAATTCCTTTCAAGTCACTGGTCCTGAGAGAACTAAAGGTTTTATCAGTGTAAAGAAGATGTGACATTTTAGGTCAGACAATGCATGTTAGGTGTGAGACCTTGTTTAGAATCTGTTTGTGTTTTAGTTTGGAGTCAGACTGGTTTTATTTCTAAAGTAGGAATTTATTAAACACCACATTGACTGACTATGTATAAATTGTGTGCTTTTTCAACAAAATAAAATGTATCTGCAAATGCAAATTCACCCCGTAGATGTATGTGTGAATGTGTATGTGTGCGGGGGGAGTGCGGAGAGAGAGTATGAGAGTGTGTAGGGGGGGAAGAGAGAGTGTGTGTGTTGGGAGAGAGTGTGTGTGTGAGGAAGGGAGTGAGAATGTGTGGGTGAGGGGGGAAGAGAGAGTGTATGTGTGGAGTTAACAGAGAGGGCGTGTGAGGGAGAGAGAGTGTCTGCATGTGCGTATGTGTGTGTGTTCGCGTGTGTGGCAGAGAGATTGTGTGTGAGGGAGAGAGAGTGTGTGCATGTTTGCTCCTCTGATGCTGTTTGGCCTGCTGTGTTCATCCAGCTCTACACCTTGTTATCTCAGATTCTCCAGCATCTGCAGTTCCTACTATCTCTGACACAGAGTTGCCAAGCAGAGGCTGATAGCCAAGTTCAGTACCCATGGGGATGGTCTCAACCCGGATCTTGGGTTCATGTCACACTACAGGCGACCCCACCACACTATACACTCTCTCTCTCCCCCCCCACACACATACAGTCTCTCTCTCTCTCTCCCCCCAACACACTCACACATACTCCCCACATGCCCCCCTCACTCCCCCCTAGACACACACACTCTTTCTCACCCCTATACACACACTGTCTCTCCCCTCCTCATACACTCACTCTCTCTCCCAACACACACACACAGTCTCTCCCCCAAAACACTTACATACTCTCTGCCCACACTGCCCCCACCCCTCACACACACACGTAAATCTATGGGTGAATTTGTATTTGGAGATACATTTCATTTTGTTGAAAAAGCACACATTTATAGATAGTCAGTCAATTTGGCATTTTAAAAATTCCTACTTTAGAAATAAAACCAGTCTGACTCCAAACTAAAACACAAACAGATTCTAAACAAGGTCTCACACCTAACATGCATTGTCTGGCCTAAAATGTCACCTTCTCTTTACACTGATAAAACCTTTAGTTCTTTCAGGACCATGACTTGAAAGGAATTCAGGGATTTACATATACATATTTATCAATTGAAACCTACTAACTGATTAAAGATTTAACAACATCTTAGGCTTGTTTAGTACATCCTCCTCAACGGTGTGAACCTTTGATGTTTTAGTTATTCCATGTCTGATGCTACCTTTCTCACTAACTAGCACCTGAAAAAGGACTGAGGCTCCAAAAGCTTGTGTTTTCAAGGGTCTGGGCCCGAAACGTCAGCCGTCTTGCTCCTCTGATGCTGTTTAGCCTGCTGTGTTCATCCAGCTCTACACCTTGTTATCTCAGATTCTCCAGCATCTGCAGTTCCTACTATCTCTGGACTATAACCCAGGGTTGTGTGATTTCTGACTGATGAAAGCAAGCATGTATAATGCAAGATAATGCTATAGGAAGGATGTGATTGCACTGGGAGAATTGCACAGGAGATTCACCAGGTTGTTTCCTTGGTTAGAACAGTTTAGCTATGAAGTGAGGCTGGATAAACTTGGGTCGTTTTCTTTAGAGCAAAGAAAGCTGATGGGATGGGGGGAGGGTGCACGTGGGTTCTGGAATGAGTTGTATAGGATTATGAGGGACATGGACAGGGTAGATAGAAAGCAGCTGCTCCCCTAGTTGAAGTGTCAATAATGAGGGTTTAATTTCAAGGTGAGGGGCAGGAGGTTTAGGTGCAATTTGAGGAAAATCTTTTCACACAGGAGCTGGTCGGAATCTGGAATGCACTGCCTGGGAGGGCGGTACAGGTGGGAAATCTTCAAACCTATAAAAAAGATGAGCACTTGAAATATCAAAGCGTGAAGGCTATGGACCAAGTGTGGTAAAGTGGGATTAATGTGGATAGGTTGGCATAGGATTGATGGGCTGAAGAGTCTCTGTGACTCTAACCGCTGACAAATCTATTGAATTAATATGGGATGACATTTAATGCATAATTGTTTGCATTTGATACAATTTATTTTCTGGTCAGTTCCAGGCTTTTCCTTAGCCTGTAGGCCATTCTATTCCCATCTTATGCTGTTGTCTTTACACACCAGGTCTTTCAGCTGCCAAACTCCTCACAGAGAGGGGCCTCAATGTGGTGGTTTTGGAGGCTAGAGATCGTGTTGGAGGAAGAACATACACTGTTCAAGTAAGTCATGAAAACAACTCCACCTTTTACACTTTTGGATTGCAGAGGTTTTGAAAATGTCAGTTTGCATTTTCGGTTATCAAAAGGAATCCAAAGAGTCCAGGGCCTATTCTTTGGAGGAGCACGTTATTACTCTAGTAAAATGTAAAAGTTTTTTTTTGGCGCTGTGGTTCATGAGGAGTACTCATGATAATTATCACGAAACGAGTACTGCAAATTCTGAACTTTTTCACAGAAAGTTGAGGTGAATTAGAGGCAAGTGAGTTTTTGAACCCTATGAGTGCAGTCATTATCTGTTTGATTGATAGTGCAACCTACTTGCTCAGTGTCATGCAGGCTGTAATTAAGCATTTCTTTGAAATATATATTTGAAAGTTAAACATCATATTTCCATCTCTTAGTGACTCAATGGGACAGACGACATGACTAGCCACTTTTGAAATGCCGTTGAGCTTTGTACAATAGAACCTTACGTGGAGTGTACAGGGGTTTCATCATCACCAATATTTTTACTACCCTATGGTTCATTTCTGAAACCATTATGAAAGCACTGTAAGTAAAGGCTCATACCCATACTGCAGCAAAACTCGCTTTTATAAACATGTCCTTCAGAGAAGGATAATTCAGTAAATTGGGAAAAAATTCTGGCTGCCCTAGTCCTTCCATATGTCACCCACCTTAAGTCTGTGTTCTCAAAAGGCAGGACTTGGTGGTGCCAATGTCCTTCCTCGCTTGAAAAAGGAATGGTTCAATCACTTGCTTGAAATCCCATCTCCATGATATCAGGACACTCCAGCCATTCTATTCTGAATGTACTGGACCACCATAAGGTTTCTGTGGTCCCTTCTCTCACTTGATTTTTTTTCAGTCATCTTTATCACTGCTTAACAAATTTTGCGAACATGCCTTTACAATGAATTCTCATTGTTCTCCCTTTCTCCCTTCTGTTAAGGCCTGCTTTTATTTGCCTCCTCAATGTAAAGTACTTTGAAATTTTCTTCCTGGACTGCATTCTTCCTGGAGAAGAATGTATTTTATTGTTGTTGCACCCATTGATGTAGCTTGCAAATCTGGCCTCTGTGTTGTTGAACTGAAGGAGATTTCTGTTCCCATATGCTCTCAATAATTTCCTGCTCGAGTACAAATATGAAAATACCATGCAATGACATAAATTGTCTAGCCTGCGATATACAGTCTGTAGAATAGCTTCTCAACAAACGTTGCCAAAATTTACACTTAATGAAGTGTAATTTCATTTGGCAGAAGGGCACTAGAACGCAGACCAACAGGAGAGTAGACAAGAATTTGAGAAAAAAATGCCACAGATAATAATGCCGTTGATTTAATTATTTCTTATAGGGTCCAGAGTTCCAGTATGTTGACTTAGGAGGAGCATATGTTGGGCCCACGCAAAATCGGATTTTGCGTTTAGCAAAAGAGCTGGGTATAAACACATACAAAGTTAATGAGAAGGAACAATTGATTCATTTTGTGAAGGTAAATGTTCTACTTCATTTTAGCTGTTTTGAACATTTTTCTGTTACTGATGTTACTACAAGTAAATGTTAAGTGTAGCAAATTATTAACATTAGGTGTAGTATTAGACGTAGAATTTACAATCTCTCCACCTTGTGTTCCTCCACCAAAGCACAGAAGCAATAATAAAAGAGCTTCTGATGCAGATGATTGTACCCCTCCTGCAGATAACAGGAAAGACATCAAGCCATTGACAGACACATTTTTGAGAGCTACTAAAACATGTTGATTTCCAAATCAACATATTCAAGACTGATGTTATGTTGTGGCCACAATATTATGAGCCACCAGATATAGCCATCGATAGCACCTGTCCCAAAGCTACAGAAGAAAATCTCAAACCTTGGTGGAGTGCTCTTTCAGGATGTCATTATTGATTAAGATATTCCTATATGCATTTAGAAAGCAAATTCTGTCAATGGCTGACTCAATGATTGTATCTAGACGCAACATGAAATTAATCTGAAATTAGTAAATTAGTCCATTGCCCTGATCAGAATCCTGGGTCTGGTGTAAGTGCCACATCCAAGTTCTGGAGCACTTCCACCAAAAACTCTTGAAATCTATAGTGAGAATTTGATGACAGGATAAAATTATAAAAAAAATGAGTTTCTCTCTCAACAAATGGAGAGTATCCTCGTGAAAATTCAACTTAAATATGAAGCCTATGTTTCCTGTATGAAAGACTATATTTAAACCCCACCTGTGAGTCAGAGGGAGAGTGAGTAAATGAGTGAATGAGTGAGCGAGTGACTATCTCCCCACTGGGGTAGCACACTGGAGATCAAGCCCTGCTATTCCCGGTGTCACCGCAAAAGTTAAATATAGTCTCCTGCATGAATGACCCCAGGTTGGACAAACAATGTCAAGGTGGTCAGAATAAGGAAATATGAACAAAAGACCCTTACAAATGTTTACACTGTAGGTCACTCCTGTTGGGAAAACACTGCAGCTAATTGGCCCATGTGGAGGCCAGCACTGAAATTTGCTTCAGCATTTTGAGGATGATCTAGATCAGCAATGCAGCACAAACATGTCTAGAGGAAAGACAGAGGTGGCATAACTGCGGAAGCTTTCCCAAGCAGCAACAAAGATAGCATGAACTGTGAATTCCCATCAAATGTTTCATGAGAGGACTGACAGAAGACTCACAGGTTAGACATAAACAAACAATGAGAAGTTTGTCAAAGAAGGTACATTACTTAAAGTCGATCGCAGACTTAAGACATTGCATGTTGTGGAGATTGCCATGAATTTCTTGCAAATAAAAAAGGAGGCGGCACAGTGGCTTACAGTACCAGGGACCCAGGTTCAATTCCACCCTTGGGTGACTGTCTATGTGAAGTATGCACATTCTCCCCGTGTCTGCATCGGTTTCCTCTGGGTGTTCCGGTTTCCACCCACAGTACAAAGATGTGCAGGTTAGCTGGATTGGCCTTAGTGTCCAGGGGTGTGTAGGTTAAGTAGATTAGCCATGGGAAATGCAGGGTTACAGGGATGGGGTAGGGGGTGTGACCCTGGATGGGATGCTCTTCAGAGAGTCAGTGTGGACTTGTTGGGTCCAATGGCCTTTTTCAATACTGTAGTGATTCTATGAAAGTTATCATATAAATGCACCTACAGCTGCTTCAGAAGAATAATTTATCATGTTGCTAAGATTTATGCCTTTCAACAAAATCTTAGACTACTTTGAGAGTATTGTTAATAAGGTTTTGGAGTAGATCTGTAGCTCAGATTGTGGGTGTTGAGGTTGGTTGGCTCGCCGAGCTGGTTTGTTGTTTTGCAGACATTTCATTACTGTGCTTAGTAACATCCTCAGTGCAGCCTCTGATGAAGCGTCGGTGTGTTTTCTGCCTGGTTTTTAAACTCTGGGGTCCGTTGAGATGGATTGCCTCACTTCCGGTTTTCCTTCGTAGTGGAATGTATATGGGGTCGAGTATATTTGTTTATTAATAGCATGCTTCGTGGAGTGCCATGCTTCCAGGAATTCTCGTGCTTGTCTCTGCCTAGCCTGTCCCAGAATCTTGGTGTTGTCCCAGTTGAAGTCATGGTTCTCCTTGTCCATGTGGATTGAGATGAGTGAGTATTGGTCGTGTCTTTTTGGATCCAGTTGGTGTTCATGTACTGTTGTTGTTAGTTTCCTTCCTGTTTGTCCAACAAGAGTACATGAACACCAACTGGCTACAAAAAGACACGACCAGTACTCACTCATCTCAATCCACATGGACAAGGAGAACCACCACTTCGTTTGGGAAAACACCAAGATCCTGGGACAGGCTAGGCAGAGACAAACACGGGAATTCCTGGAAGCATGGCACTCCACGAAGCATGCTATCAATAAACACATTGAACTCGACCGCATATACATTCCACTACGGAGGAAACCCGGAAGTGAGGCAATCCATCGCAATGGACCCCAGAGTTTAAAAACCAGGCGGGAAAACACACCGACGCTTCATCGTAGGCTGCACTGAGGATGTTACCAAGCACGATAACGAAACGTCTGCAAAACAACAAACCAGCTCGGCGAGCCAACCAACCTCAACAGTATTGTTAATAGTCCGAGTTGTCTTCAGTAATTTAGTAAGAAGTGTTACACTCCTGGAACATAAATGTTGATGGCCTTTGCTACCTTTCACCAAGATAAATCCTTTGGGGAAAATTTCCTTACAGGATCTTCCAATGTTCTACAATAACATCTGTGGAGGTGGGCAGAAATCTCAGAGAAATAATATAGATAGCCACTAAATAGTGCCAACCTAAGATATCTTTGTTCGAGAGCACATGGATCTTGACTAGAGATGCTAAACAAATTAAAATGGAATGCATTAAGAAGCAGTAAAAATGGGAGTATTCTTTTGGTTTATGGGAATGTTTTGCTACATTCCCCATCCCCCCTTGACGCTGTCAAGTGTTTGTTTCAGACTCATTTTAAGTACGTATCTATAAGTTTCTAAAATGTAGTAGACAACAAAAGTTTTGCTTTCGAAAACTGCATATTTTATTATTTAATTCTTAACCTTTGATGTTGTGACATTAATTCTTAAGGTTATTGATGAATCATCGAGTTATGCAAAGTATTAAAGTTCAAGCTCAGATCCCAGTCCCAATGATTTCACATCCTGCTCTATTGAGTGCTAATCTTGAGAAAATGTACAAATCTTATTTTAAAACTGAAACATTTCAGAATAAATGTAATGTTCATCTGCATGTTAAACGGTGTCAATGGAGGCATTGTTAAAGCAACAGTAATTAAACCAGTTACAAGCAATGTATGATTTTAAGTTGAATTTATCTTTTTTTCTTAAGAAAGGGAAGACATGGTTTATTTTCATTTTAGATTTGTAAACCTGAGCTGTCTTGGTGAAGGTGTCTGGAGGTCTGTTTCTTATTACATGCATTTTGATAAGATTTTACAAACTTATTCTGCTCACAACCCCCTTCAGCTCTTCAAGTCAACAGTTTGGTGCAATATTCCCTCTAATTTTAGCTGTTCCTTTACGGACTTCAGAACTCTTGGTACATGTAAACAGAACAGAAGTCATATGGTGGAGGATGATCGATAGTGCATAAGGTTTCTCAGCTGCTACATGACCACCAACTGTGCAACCTCAGGGAGCATTGGTTCAGTACATGACTAAACAAAAGAGAGAAAAGGAAAGGAAAATACAGTCCTGTTGCTATAGCGACATAGTTGCAGATATACAAAGACATACATTCAGGAAGACTCTCAATCAATGTGACTGTGTTTTAGAGAAAAGACTGCTGGAAACTGAGTTTAGGAACTCATGTATTTATTCTGATCTAAAATGACTTTCGTTTGGAGTTTATTTTAGGTATTTTGGGAAGGGAGAACCTTCCCAAAGGAAGGAAAGGAAAAATCTTCCAATGACTGCATTAATTCAGCTTAAGGAAACAGGTTTCAGCTATCCCAGCAGAGAGTGAGCAAGGAGCTTTAGTGAAGATAATGGTGACACTTTCCTGAAGGTGGAGTATTTGCTGTATTCCTCCAGCTCCACACCTTGCTATCTCAGACTCCAGCATCGGCAGTTCCTACTATCTCTGAGCAACTTCACACTTTCTTTTATTCCACTAATATCCTTACAAACACTCCACCATCAGGAAAGTGTCACCACTATCTTCACTGAAGCTCCTTGCTCCCTCTCAGCTGGGATAGCTGCAACCAGTTTCCTTAAGGTGAATTAATGCAGTCGTTGGAAGATTTTTCCTTTCCTTCCTTTGGGAAGGTTCTCCCTTCCCAAAATACCTAAAATAAACTCCAAACAAAAGTCATTTTAGATCAGAATAAACGTATGAGTTCCTAAACTCAGTTTCCAGCAGTCTTTTCTCTAAAACACAGCCACATTGATTGAGAGTCTTCCTGAATGTATGTCTTTGTATATCTGCAGCTATGTCACTATAGCAACAGGACTGTATTTTCCTTTCCTTTTCTGAAGAAGGGTCCAGACCTGAAACGTCAGCTTTCCTGCTCCTCTGATGCTGCCTGGTGCTGTGTTCCTGCAGCTTCACACCTTGTTATCTAAGTGTGAAGTTGAATCTTTTTCACATGTCTGTCATGAAATAATTCCAACATTTAATTTTGTCCAGGGTGATATATTAATGTTTTTCTTGTTTAATAAATGTTCTATTCTTGTGCTAAAGATACACTGGCAGTCTTTTGTGAATGCATTCAGTGATTTTCTTGGTTTTAAAAAAATGTTAATAAGACAGATTTCAGTTTGGGATCTGACTTGTCCAGTATTAATGTCTGTTAGGTTAATAATAAATTCATCAGGAAATTTTCTTGTATCTACTTTTGACTACTTTTAGTTTTTGTATTTTCACTTTAGAAAAAAAAACCCTTGTGTTTTCTTCTGTCTTTGATGTAAATGCCAAAGTGTTTCTATCACTGTTTTCCAAAGAGAAGTTGCCCTTTCAGATCTAGTATCTTGTTTTGTTGT